TGAAAAATTATAATATTTAAATATATTTATTTATTTAATAACATGTAAAAATTATATAAAAAATTGATACAAAAAGATTATCCTTGTACCATTACCCTAACTTAATTTAATCCTAACAACTCTAACAATTTAATTCACGACTCTAACAATCTAGGAATATTACTGTAGATTAGGAATTTCCTCAACAAAATTCACATTATATCGCGTCTATTTTCATAACTGTAATTAAATATTTTTTAACATCAAAATATTCTAATTTTTTCCCTTTTTAGTCAGAATTAATTTTCAGTTGAAATGCAACATTTATTGTCGTTAATTATAAGGATAATGATAGCCTCAAAGCCTAAGCTATATGAATTTTTTGATATTCGAAAGCAACTTTAAGTCTTAATTAAGTTAAAATTAAGTTGTGTTAAATTTTATAAAAAATAAACTCTTTCAAAATATGCTTTTTTATAAACAAAATTTAAATTTTAAATTTTATTTTTAAAAAATCAAATTTCTTCTGCTCAATCTAATATATTGTTCGGTGACATAGCTATATGATCTAATAAGCTGCTCTCCGAGATTACACCTACCGTGGTTAGCTAGTTCCGGGATTATGGCGTCCTTGATGCTGTTTAGAACTATAGATCCAACCACGGAGCTTAATTAATTTCTTGTTTATGAATTTGATACTTTGATCCATATTTCAATATTTAACCATAAAGTTTATCCTCATTGGCTCATTCCTAATTTCCAATTAGGATTTTCTGATATTTTTCCACCCGAGTTAATAAATATTCATGCCGCCTACGTATTTTTAGTATCCTTAGTTTTTGAGAGAAAAATAAAACCGAAATATGTTTTTTTAATTTGAATTACACCAAAAAAGGTGCAAGATGGACTATGAAATTATTATGCTACCGTGAATTTTCTCCCTTGTTAATTAATTAATGACACTCCAACAATTTCAACATTTAAATTACATTGGTGACGACTAACATATATGTGCACATATATATATAATTCAAACTATAAAAATATACATTTAATAAATCTTATTCCATACAAGTATTTAAATATTTTAACAACTCGGGCTAAAAACACAAAACACCTATATATATATATATATTAAGGTATATCCAAAAATGAAGTCGAATATCATATAGATGCATAACCGATTAAAGGAGAAAACTACACTTTGTTTATACAGATGAACCTTGTAATTGTTTTAAACCCTCCTCCGTATGCTTTAAGAAAAAAAAAACTATAATTCTGTGGATCATTATTAGAGGCCCGGTATGCTCCAGAAAACACTATCATTTATCTATTTACATATCATCTTTTTAAACCCTAAAACTTTGAAAAACCATCAAAAAGAGCTCCCGTCTCGCCACCCAGGCAGCAGCAGCAACAACTTTGTTTCAGGAGTGGATTTTGACACTTCTGGCGCCTCATGGAATGGTAATGCAAGTGATAGAGCAAGAGATGCATCGGCTTCAGATACAGGGATGTTTATCTGCTTTGAGGGCCAAAGTGAAAGCTCAAGATTCGGAGTGCCACTATGCCATTGATGCTCATTCTGTCTTGAAAGAACCATGGAGCTCAGCCTATTCTGCCCACCTTCTAAATCTAAGCTGGGAGAAGATTCTGGCATTGGATTAGCTCCCTCAAACTCATGAGGTTCACAAGAAATATGAGGACCGTGGCCATCTGCATTAGAAGCAAATCTATAACTCGAGTTCTTCACATCCCAGAAACTATTTGATTCACCCGTTCCACTAGTTGAAAGCTTCGGTCTCTTGCAGAGCTGTTCGTCCTCAACCTTCAACCTGTCTTCATTTTCTTCAAGAGAATGGTTCAGATCAATTTCCGGTCTTTTCTTAGAATTTGTTTCTCCTGGCTGTAGGGAAAGAAAAGGTTACTCATCAGTACTTGTTCCCTAATGGAAATCTCAGCGCAAAGATAGGAATACTTATAAAATAAAACCAAATTAATTAACAAAAAAAAAAAAACTGTGCCAAACAACATGTTTGGAATAATTTGTCTGATCTTATTGCTCTCTATATCTTTCAAGCAACTCACATGAAAAGTCAACTTTTGAACTTTGGAATTTAGAGAAGGAATCCTCTCTGGCCAGCAAAAGAGGATAATATCAAGGAACAAAAACCACTTCCTGAGAGGGAGATACTGCATTGTAATTAATACGTGTGTGTATGTGTCTTATATATAATCTGCCGCTAGTCATATATAAAGTCAAACAAGCAAAAAGCTTC